CTTGCTTTAAACATAGTAGATTGCATCCCAGCAATCGATTTCTGATTATACCCTGCTGTTTCAGCCTCATTATCCTCAATAACAAGCCTTCCAGTCCAATCCTTATCTCTTTTCCTGAGTATTTTGTGTCTTGGACCAGTATTTGCCATATGATACCTGTAATCAAAACCTACAGTTCTATCTTGAACAGGTATATAATCTACTGGTAGTTCCATAACCACTTCACCTCCTATAATGGCCTCAGGAACAAGACCAGGATTGAGATCTTTAACAAACATCAGATATATGACAACTCCATTACCAGACACATATCCCTCATCTTCTGTAATATTCCCAGAAAACTTTCCTTCCAATCCATTTTGCTTATCTATCCTAGAAATAACACTCTCACATTTGAAACCATCAAACTTGTTCAATGACTTCAGCCCTTCCAAAGTAATGTTAAATGCATGACAGTCCATCATTACAAATTTTAAAGCATTAAGCCAGTTCCTCTCCTGTACAAACCCAAAAGTCATTGTGCACTTTCCCAGATGAATATCACTATCATATACCTGCAGAATCTCAACTTCACTATTCCCTGAAACTGTTGGTGCCACTTGCTTCAATTCAGTATGAATTTCCAGAATTATAGTCCCTTTTAATCCTTTTACTAATGCAGCTATGATTGTAAATTCTGAAACGGATGATTCATGTTGGCATGTTGACACTAGCACCCTGGGAGATATGGCTTGCAATGATCTCTGCGAATGAAGAGACAAGTCTGGCGCAGGGTAAGAATCTACTTGTGATAACGATAGAAGATGCTCGGTTAGCAATGGCGAACAGAGAGAAACAATTCGTGACTGCGAACTAGGGACTTCTACTCGAGTCGAAGCCAGAGGTCCGGAATGAGTATCGTGCGACTGAGACGGGCCTTTGCTTTTCGAATTTACGCAGCGACGTACCTTCCTCGATCGTCCTCGCCGGTGATGTTGTTTGCTCTTCGCACGTTTCTCCTTCTCCAGGCTTGAGTGTTTCTCTTTCTCCAGGTTTGAGCGATTTTCTTTCTCCTGTTTTAAGCTCTTCTCCTTCTCCACTTTTCCGCTCTCAACCTTTTCTGCGAGCTTCACCATGTTTTCGCGCGAAATCTTTCGGGACTGCGAACTAAGAGAAACAGTTCGTGACTCCGATTGCGGACTAGCGAGTGACTGCGACGAACCATGTTTGTCAGATCACTGAAGATGCCTGGTGTTCTTCGAACGATGTTGATCTCTCGCATCCAATCTGGCAAGAATCGTTGCTAACATCTCCATATTTTGTTGATGAATCTTCTCCAAGCTATCCATCCTTGCGCGCGTCGGTATCATCCACAGTGATCGAAGGCTCTGATACCAATGTTAGAGATCTCCAGCAATCCAAACGATTAACAGAAAATTAACAAGAAACAAAGGAATTTTATTGATGAAGAAGAACAAGAACAGTAATCGTAACTAGAAATTGGCCGAAGCCCCCAATGAGCCGAAGCCCCCCAAAAGAAAGAGAATAGCTCCCGATCTTCCCAAGTCCCAGAATGATAAAGTCTAAACAGCCTACTTGACCTTTCCCAGCTTATTCTATTTATACTATTCTAGTACACTTATTATTATTATTAGTCTAATATAAGAGGGTTCCTAACAATCACATTCTCATTTGTATTGAGATGAATTTAATAATATTTTTCAAAAAACGTAATTCTCATACATTAATAAATAAAATGTAGTCAAAGTAGAGCATGCGAATAGTGTAAAATTATCCATGTTGCAACTAAAAAGAAACAGATGATAGTATATAATATCTGCCTTGTGCTTTTACAGGAAATGGAAGGTGGAACTTCGGCCATAGGTCCTTAAGCTGCCAAATCAGCAAAAAGGACCCGGCTTGTAAACAAAATTACTTGTCTGATGAAAATGATGCAGACGAAGTAACTTGCATGTATTGTGGAAAGGTAACAAACGGGAAGCTGGTTTGAAATGCCTAGAACATATTAAAAAGATGCTAAGAGAATATATGCAAATAAAAAAGGATGCTAAGATCAATTATGCTAAATTGCCAAAACATCCTGATTTTGATGGATTTCATGATCTAGAGAAGGATAGGATGACGGTGAACTTGAGGAGTTGGAAAGAGATTCTAGATGTAAATTAAAAAGAGTTCATGATGCACAGAAGGGCACAGCACCTCTAAAGACGGGAAAGGAAAAGGTCCAATGGACACGTTTATCTACAGTTCTACACGAAACCAGAAACTGTGGTCGAGCTTTTGAGCTTCAAAAGCAAGGAAGACCGAAGCAATTGAAGATTGACGAAAAGTTGAATAAGCAAAGAATGAAAGTAGCTATTCAATATATATCAAACAATTTTTTACCTCAATGACATTCCTTTCCATGTTGCCTGATAGCATTCATTCAAATGTGCCATTGAAGCAATTGGACAATATGGTCCAAATTGCCCCTAGCTACCATGAAGTGAGGTTACATGTTTGAAGAAAGAAGTTGCTAACATCCAGAATATTCTAGCACAAGATAGAGCTCTGTGAGTGAAACATGGCTGCTCAGTGCTCAATAATGGCGGATAGTTGGACTAGCACCACAAGTCCATGCATAGTAAATTTCTTAGGTCACTTTTTGGCCGGATGTGTGTTTTGCCAAATCTGTGGATGCCTAAAATGGGTTCAAGGGTATTAGAGCCACTTGATGGATTTGTTGAATGTGTAGGGGGGCTAATGTTGTCCAGGTGGTTATCCATAATGGTCCTAATTTTACGTTGTGTGGTAAATTGTTAGAAACTAAGAGGCCAAACATATATTGCACACCATGTGGTGTAGACTGCATCGATCACATGCTAGAAGATATTGAAAAGTTGCCTTTGATTTCGAAACCTTAAAACGGGATATGACTTTGACTAGTTTTATTTATAACCATGTGGAATTGTTTAACTTAATGAGGAGGTACACAGGACAAAGAAATCTTATCAGACCTGGGAATACAAGTTAAAGACACTTTGATGAAGCCTACTTTCTCGAATAGTGCTTATTACAGACTCAATCTGACAACGAAAGAAAACTGGCTATGGGATACATATATGAAGCTATGGATAGAGCCAACGAAGCTATAATAAAAGCTTTTAATGGAAGAGAACATAACTACAAAGGAACATTCAAATTCAATGACTCCAGAGGTCCAGAGGATAGAGATCAACTTCTGAATATTGATGAGTTGTCAAAATATAAGGGTTGAAAGTTTGTTTGGTATCAAATTGACAGTTTTGACAAGAAAAACAAAGGATCCAGGTGACATGCACTTTTTAGATTGATTCTTTAAGAATCTGTCATATTACTGCAGCAGGTATACTAAATACTCATCAATTCATTCTGATTTTTTGTCATAAATGCAGCTAAGTGGTGGCGCTTGTATGGGAGCACAACGCACAACTTACAAAAATTGACCATGAGAATTCTTAGCCACACGTGTAGTGAGTGCTTCAGGTCGTGAATGCAACTGGTATGTGTTTGAACATGTACATTTTTAACTTACAACTCCTAGAAATCAACTGTTAAACACTTAAAGCACTAAAGAAGTAATTTATATATCTTTATGTTCAAGATCCACACAAAGAGAAGGAACAAGCTAGGAATGTAGAAGCTAAATGATCTAGTTTTGCCAAGTATAATACAACTTTGAAAGCATGTTTTGACTCCAAAGATATCACAGATCCTATTGTTTTAGATAATATTGATGATTACAATGAGTGGTTACATCAAAGTGCTCCAAATGATTTAGTTTTCATTGATGACAAAGGTGATGACTTGACATGGGGTGCTGTGAGTAGAGTAAAAGGAGTAGAAGAACTGATAAGATATACTAGGAGGCAGTCAAAATTTTCTAGTGCAAATACTAAATGAGAAAAGTGATGGAGAAATTGAAGAGGATGTAGGAGAATATAAATCAAAAATGGAAAAGAAACAGACTGTCTTTTAAAGATGAGCAAGGGGGATTAGGCTAGAGTCTAATTATGTTTTATTTTCAAATTTACTATATGTTATAAATTCCAAACTCGGTTGGTTTGTTTTTGTGAACCATGACCTTATTTTGGTAAATCGTGACTTTATTTTGGTGAATCGTGACTTTATTTTTCAGAAACATGACTTTTTAGTGCAGTCGGTTCAATATGATGTTAAACACATCGTGTTTGATAATTGTAAAATGATATATGGAATATTTTCTAAGCAATGCACTTGAAATGAGTCAGGCAGGGACTTTTTGGGGGCGATAGGTGTACTCCAGTGCCTTGAGTGCGCCTCGGATTTTGGAATACCTTGATCCCCATGTTAAATATATAAAGGGGCGGGGTTTAGCTTTGTTGTGTTAAAAGAGCTTTGTCTTCTAGTTCTTATTAAGACTCACTTTTTGAGTTTTGAGACTTTCATTATAAGGAAAACAAGAGCACTAAGCTCAGAAACGGGCTATGTTAGCATGCTCCCCAAGGAAGGCAATGAGCATACCGGTGATATGGAGTAGGATGCATTCATCTCATAAACGTTGATCCTACATCGAGATCATTAGTTTCTACACACAGCTTTTTAGAGAGAGATGTTTGCACACTCGATAGATAATATTATAAAGCAAATCAACTCATATTTGGGCCAACAATTATTCTTTGTTTCACATGCATAAAAACATCATCATCATCATCATTACCCTGCAATGGCTCCCACACCTTCGCTGGGGTAAGGAGGGTCAGATGTACGCAGTCTTACCCTTGTACTAAAGCAAGGAGAGACTATTTCCAGATGACCCATTATGAAAATCACGTTGAAAATTGCATGGACTAGTAAGCCATTTGGCTTTATTCCATCATATTCCCAAGCCAAAAAATAGTGAGTCTTTGGCTCCATTGCAAATGATGGAAAAAGATGCATAAGAAAACATAAATAAATAAAAATTGGATTCAAAATCTACCTTAAGGGTTGTGATAACTTACGATGTGTAATGTGCGCCGTAAAATATTGGAACCCTTCCAAGTCCTGAACCTCTCCATTTTGTTCTTGGTAAGGATACACTTGTGTCGACTTCTGAGCCGGTTGCAGTCAACACAAACTGTAAAGTACAATTTTTATTGCCATTTTAGGATAGACTGAAGTAGAAAAAAATTTAAACAACACTCAAACCTTAGTCTCAAAAGAATTTGGTATCGGCTAACATGAATCGATATACGATATCGGAGCCAAAAGAAAAAAGATAAGAAAGATAAAAAGATAAGGTATTATAAAAAAGAAAAAAGATAAGATAAAATATAGATAAAATATAAATAAAAAAGATACGAGAAAAAGATAAGGGAAAAATCACACTTTTAGTTCCTCAAAAGTACCGATATTGAAATGTCGTCCTCGTATTCTCAAGTTTGTAAAGGTCACCCCTCAATGATCTCAATTGTTGTAAATGTAGTCCTTTGAAGGGTGAAATGTACAATGTGGGTGAGGATTACATTTACACCAATTCGACAATTGAGGAATTACATTTACACATTTGGGTACACAGGATTAAATTTCAATATCGGTACTATTTGAGTTTAGTGTGATCTTTCCAAAGAAATATATATAGGGGAGGGTTCAAATAAAAAGGAGTTTTAACGTATAAAATAAGTATTAATCTTAGCCATCCAAACTGTCAATCTGATGCACAATAACTCAATCTAATGCACTATCGAAGTAACCTTATCTGATGTACTTTTCGGAAAATGCATCAGATAAGGTCTATATGAAAAGTGGATCAGAGTGCATCAGATCGACAATTTGCACGGCTGAGATTAATTCTTATTTTACACGTTAAGACCTTTTTTAGTTTGATCCGCACTATATATATATAACAAAAACATAAAAGGATAAAAAAATAAGAAAGATAAAGAAGATAAAGAGGAAAAATATGGCCAATCTGTTGCACGGATACCTGCCCTCCACTTTGCTCTGTCCAAAATATGGCCGTAAGTTACTTCCGTATTTAAAGTCTAGTAATGCTAAAATATGGCCGTAAGTTACTCCTGTTTAGGGTGGAAACATAGTACTCATATTTTGGTATTCTCATTATTTTTAATCCTATTTAGGGAAGTTTCCCTAGACATTAAGAAGAACTAAGTCTCAAAATCCCCCAAATTGGGGGAATGAGTTATGAAAAGTTTTGAACATCTTATAGTTCCTCAACATTCCTCCCCCTTTATCCAAAAACTCCCCCCAACAAAACAAATACTATCCCCCCTCCAAAACCCTACAACAAAACAAAGGGTTAGTCTCTTTTTTGTATGCATTTTATCAAGTACCACGGACAGATGAAGGAGGCAAGAAGTTTATTACCAAGGGAAAGAGTAAAGCCATAACCCCGTAGCTAACAAGAGGGGAGAACAAGAATATCACCAGGACACATGGGCTTCCTGGAAGTATATGCCACCAATTACATAGAGAAAATAATCAATGACTAAAATGAGGCTTCAAGTTGAAATGCAAAACTTTAAAATCTTCAGTTTGGAAATGTGAAATTAACATGAAGTCATACAGTTTTGGTTTTGAGCTCACATACAAATTATTTCATTTTTACAAATTTCAATCAACCGTTCTGTAACTATATCACAATGGTTTCTGATTTCATTTGCCTAGTATAACTACATCACAGTAAAACAGAAGCTGAGGGGTGAAATTTTAAACTCTAAATTAAGAAAATGGTAAAGAAGAATATAAAGAACATGACCAAAACCAGCAAACAATGTCCAGTTGGTTTCAAAGAAGTCCAGCCTCTTGTCCAAACTTAGTCCAGATAGATTCCATTTATACCTAGAAATTTACAATTAGAAACTCCTGAATTGGCATTTGTTCAGAATAATCAGCAGAAATATAAGAGAAAATGGAAATCTTAAAAGTAAAAACTTACTCGAAACAATAATATGCATACATCCAAGAAAGAAGCAGAAACTTTAGTGTATTTCCAATATAGGGGATGAATCCGATAGCAGTAACCTGGAACCAGAAAGAACACCAGTAGGCATATTGATTCTTTAGGGGAGGTGTCAAACACCGTTTTGAAATACAATTTCACCTCTAGGAAGAAGAAAGTCAGCAAGAGGACAGAATAAATTTGTTCAGCAATGCCAATCATGACTCTGAAATGGAATTATCTTATAAAAAAATATCCTTAAATGAAACATCTCACAATTGTGCACCCAAAAAGTTAATTAAGGGTTAAATACAGCCATTCAAGTAAACAATAAACATACCCTTCAAAATCAGTTGATTTAGTCTTACTAACTGTTGTTTGTGAAACTTGTGACTCCTTTTGATCAGATGATTTAGAAGTAGTTGGTCCATATTCCTCGAGTGCAAAAAAACCATGCATTGCAATGTCATTGTACCTGAACAGAATACACCATATTACAGTGCATTTGTGGGCCCATATATTATGACCTGATTTGCAGAACTGCAATGTTAGAAAACATTTAAAACAGAAGAGAAACTGGCCAAGTGAAGATAAGAAATACCATATATTGCTGAGGATGTAGCTCAAAATGTATAATGGAAAAAACCAGAAAACCTACAAAGGAAAACCATAAAAGTAAATAATAGTGCTAAAAAATATATTGCTCATTCCAAATTTTAATGATACTTAGTGTAGGCAGAATATATAGGTAGAAGGTTGTGAACAACTACATCAAGAATTTGAAGAATACACTGGCCACCTAAAGCTCCAACCCACTAATATGTCAAATATCTTGTACCATAGGGAAGCACAATAATAACTCACATAGAGCAGTTGCACAAGTCCTAGGCGTAAGATACTATACAACTCCATTATAATCCCACATGAAAATGAACCTTCTGAAGTGCTCTCTGGGCATTGATCCGGCAATATCCACTGTAGTGCTGGAACAATGACTGAATACAGAAGAAAAATACTGCAAGCGAAGATATTCAGAGAAGCATGTTGTGATCGATCTTTCCCAAGTACTTGATTTGGTTGATATTACCTCATTCCAGTTACAACTTACAATCATATCAAAGTAAATTTTGGATTAAAAAAAAAAACTCCTTTTCTCGAAAGCAAATTGCAGAACATTGCTAATGGTAGAGAACTGTTAAGAAACACGGGTTAATTAAATGAAAAACATATTCCGCACTAAACACGTAATACAAAGAAACAACATTACCTTCCTAAGAAGATAAAGCCATTCAGTAAGAAACACTGGCCAGTTCGAATGGCAAGCTGTCTTGACCTTCAACCAGACATTAAAAAAAAGCCCAAGAGAGAAATAGTTCGCTATTAAGCAGTAAATTCATCGGAGATATGAGCAAAACAGAGTGATGGACAAAACTGGGGAAGGGGAACCTGATGCAATAGACAAAGACCCGGTGAACACAGCAAGCCTCCCTGAAACCCTCCGCCCAAAGAACTAACGCCTGCTTTGACTTCCTGCTTAAGGAGCTTGCCAAATTCCTCGGGACGCGGCTCTCCATCCCCGTAGATGAATTTGATCGGCAGTAACAACTACCTCGATGAACGGTTGTTGAGTGTTGGTTTCTTTAATGAACGTTGAACTGTTGTTGAGTTTTACAACGGTTTATACCTATAGAATCCATTCCCCATTCGTCTAATATTTAAGTCTAATTTGGTGTTATCTAAATTGATGTGATCTGGTTGATCTGTTTAACTTTGCTTTAGTCCAGTCTGGTATGATAAATATCTAGTCTTTGTGTACTATATAATTATCCAAGTTGGTCTGATCTTGTCTGATGTGTTTAATTGTAATATTATTAGATCTGATCTGGTATGTGACTGAAAACAATCCAAAAAGAAAACATTCTTACCACAATTGAATGTTGTCAATAATTTCAATATATTCATCATTAAAGCTTTAATTTACTTTTTCTTTTTTTTTAATATCCAATCACGAGTCTTTATTCATATGATAAGTTTCAGGATCATTACATCAATCAAGAGAAAAACAAATCTGACACCAAACAGACTCCAACAACTATGACTGTAAACCTCATGATCAGATTTAGAAATGGTCACTTCAACAACACGAATCGCTAATCATGTAACATGTTTGACACAGCCATCTATGTTCCCACAGATCCAAACATACTCAATGACATAAAATCAGGCTAAATTCTCAAACAAGCCTACAAACCTAACAACAAAAACAACAAGAAGAAAACAAATCACAAAATAACTAGAATTTATTGAAGAACTTTCACGAACTCTAGCCTCCGGCAAAACCTTACCATTAGTACCACTCTCATTGATCCCCTGATTTCAGCCGTGGTGCCATCCTCCTCCTTCCCTAGAAGTCGGCCATAGCCATCACCGAACCCTTGCCGTCATATGTAGCCAAACGCCTCCGCCAGATGCTCCGCCATTCCGGTATGCTGCAGCGTCACTCCATGCCAACCACTGACCTCCATCAAAGCAAATCTCCCCGAACCTGTATAACATCGCCTCGCCAAGAAACCTCCACCACCATCGAAAGCCGAAGGCATCGAAGTGGACCAGAAACGCCGAACTCGGAAGTCGGCGAAAAACCAAACCCTAACTAGAGGGTACCATTAAAGCTTTAATTTTATTTTATTTTTTTATATTTTATTATCATATATCAACTTTTTCCAACTTTTCCAGAATAATTATGATCAATAGAATTAAATAAGTGAAAGATGTATAAAATAAATTTAAATAAATTTGGTGTTTATTTTTTTGTTATGGCCCATCTTTGAATAAATTTAAATAAATTTGGTATTTATTTTTTGTATAAATAATATTTTAATCATGAGATCTATGAAATCATGGGATGTATGAGTAGATATCTTTTTAAGCGCATGTTGCAAGCAGCGTTGTTATTTCTTATGGTATCCGTATTGCCGTCTTGGCATGTCCAAATTGACAAGCACTACTGCTAAATGTCTAACGGTGCAATGCAAGTGTGAGATGTACATGACGATTACGGGTGTTGGAGTTAGAAAGAAAAATGTTTGAGGTACACAAAATGTGTACACATGTTTATCCTTCACAGAAATTTTGTCATTGAGTTGTTTGTGACAGACAAAATTACATGTGTACACATTTTGTGTACCCCTAGCAAAATTAGAAAATATACTCCGAGCATTCAGGTGAGGTGTTTCCTGACCCTTACCCCAAGACCCTCGGGTCTCGGATATCTACCGGGTAAAAAAAAATGGCGGAGTAGCCAATAGGATTACTTCATTTTTGAAATACGGAGTAGCATTATTAGTTCATTAATGGAGATGTGGGTTATAATTACTCGTTACTTCCCATTTTTGTAGAAATTAAATACTCAAATTAATACTAACTTCCTATTTCCTAATAAAGAAACCCAATACAGATAGGATCATAAGATCGGAAAGTTTAACTTCATTATAAATAGAGGGCTCCCTCCTGCCTTTACCGCCAAGGATCAAGCTCTGAGAATCCTACGCCGCATTATTCAATCACCTGAAAAATTTGAATCACTCTTAATTATGGCTATGAGTCTGAATTACTGTGGATTGATCACTCCTTTGGAGAAGGAACTAGACGAATGGCGGAAGAGATTACAGGACCCTTTCTCCCCAGAACATACTTTGCTATTTCATAAATTTGCCGATAACACTGCTAGAATTCCAGAAAACTACAATGTCTTTGTTGGAGGACCATATAGTTGTCGTTCATGTTATGATTATCATAATATTGCAAGAAACAACAACTACGAATATGAGTCCTCATCATCAACACTGAATGATTCAAAGGACGTGTTTGTACGCAAGGCTAAAATGCATGAGGGGTCACTTGAACTTCAAAATCTGATTAAGAATGGGAATTCAGGATACAAGCAAGAAGTTCTTGATGGGATTATTGGTTCCATATTTGAGGTGATGATCGATCCACATGGCCACCATCTCTTTCGAAGAATTCTTGAGTTTTGTGATTCTAGTCAGTTGGACACCATCTTTGTCAACCTGACATCATCCAAGGAGTTGCTTATCAACAAATCTCTCATGCAATACGGGTCAAGTGCAGTTCAAAGATTTATCAAGAGACTTAAAAACACTGAGTTGGGGCAATTCGTTGCAATCATCCTTTCCATGAGATTTGTCGATCTGATGACTAGCGAGCACGGTAGATTTGTAGTTCAAGAGTGCTTTTACACCTTCGAGCCTAAAGAAAATGAGGTTTTATTCACTTGTGCAATCTCCTACTTAGAAGAGGTGGCAACAACACAATATGGATGTTCATCCTTGAATGTTTGCTTGAGTTGCATTACCGGTGCACAGACAACAATTGCTCAAAAGTATCGTAGATAAATCTGATTTCTTAGCGAATGATCCTTATGGGAATTATGTTGTCCAGAAAGTTCTTATGCTTATAAACGACGAGATCACACAAAAAATATGTGACCGCCTCAAGAGGGATTACTTACGGTTGGCTTTAAAAGAAGTGGAAGCCGTGTTGTTGAAAAATGCTTGCAAGCTTCACAGTATGGATTGAATTCGGTAGTAGAGAACCTTCTCAGCAATGAAAAGAGCTTAGTGTTACTTGCCCGTGACCGATTTGGAAATTATGTTATCCAAACAGCTCTTCAGACTACAAAGGCAAGTAATACCAAGCATTATGAATCTCTTGTCACTGTCCTTAAGGCGCAACGCTCGGCTCTTCCGCATATCAAACTTGGGAAGCATATATTGAATCACATAGAAGATGCGCAAAACAATGTGGAAAATGTCTGATCTGATTTTTTCGTCAATTTGTACTTATTGAAATGCAAGTCTGAAAACTCTGTTTGGAAAGTTGATTAGTTGATATCTTAATAATGTTAAGTTTTTTTCTTCTGATAATGACTTTTTATTTCCTTTCAATACATTCCTGCTAGTTGTGGCCCTTGGGCATACACGAGGTTTTAATTTGTTATCCATATAATAACTCTCTATAATTGTATGTACAATCTCCCTTTGTGGATGAATAAAAAAAAAAAGATGATGTGAGGGGGCTTTTTTTATACTCGTACGAAAGTGCAAGTACCAAAAGATTAAAGAATCATGTGAAGTACTACGTATTTAAGAAAGTATGTATCTTTGCCCAAAAAAAATATGTATCTCTAGCATTTTAAGTGTACAAAAATAGAGGTTTGGCTCATTCCCGTTGCATAAAAAAATAGAAGTCTAGCTTTTGGAGTATACAGAAAAAAGAAGTTTAGCTCATTCCTGTTACATAAAAAAATAGAAGTCTAGTTAAAAAAATTAATCCCCATCTATTCAATGGGGTTGGGTTGTGGAGCAACTTTGAGTGATTTCATTTTTTTTAATAAAAGTAGAATGAAGCACAAAAGCATACCATTTAAGGTGTGCTTATTTACGGGTCCTTCCTCGGTTGAATTTTGGCAAATTTTCACTATGCAGTTTTGCTTATGCAAATTTGCACTATGCAGTCTTTCCTTGGTGAAACTCTAAAGCAGAAGGAGGCGACACGAATGATATCAACATGAACCTTAAACAGTCATGTTTAAGTTGAAAATATAACTAAGATGTAAACACAATATTGTTCACTTTTTTTATATCCCGATCACACTCATAGACCCAGTCTCATCGTCCGTCCAACGTGGGACGAAGTCACTTGTGTCAACCGAAGGGTAGCAACAACATGGGCGAAATTCAAATTCACAAGCGTCCGGTCATTAACATTACTTTGGGAGAGATCAGAGGAGATAAGATACCGGCTTTTGTTCTTCATTGCTTCAGTGAAAGAGATGGATGATCAACATCTATTAATTAGCAAGGAAGGTGACACAAACATTTCGAAAGATGAATTACGAATGGACATGTGAAATAATCAAGGAAGAAGTACAAGTTATGTCAAATTTAAAAAAGTTGCTACTTAATGGCTTGATATTTGCACCACACACCTCAACTTCTCGAAAGGGGACAATTATTGGAGCAAATCTTTATGTAATTAATTCTACATTTATGGTAATTCAAATTCACAAGCGTCCAGTCATTAACATTACTTTGGGAGAGAGGAGATAAGATATCGGCTTTTGTTTTTCATTGCTTCAGTGAAAGAGATAGATGATCAACATCTATTAATTAGCAAGAAAGGTGACACAAGCATTTCGAAAGACGAATTACGAATGGCCATGTGAAATAATCAAGGAAGAAGTACAAGTTATGTCAAATTTAGAAAAGTTGCTACTTAATGGCTTGATATTTGCACCACACACCTCAACTTCTCGAAAGGGGACAATTATTGGAGCAAATCTTTATGTAACTAATTCTACATTTATGGTAATTAATTATGGGAGTTATTTTTACAATTGTGAGATTTCAATAAGTACTCCCTTCGTACCGTTAAGATTGTCTCATTTTACCTTTTCGGGAAGTCCCACTAAGATTATCGCATACCACATTCGGTAAAGATTGTGTGGCTCTAAATCATTATTACTTTATTCTTACTTTATCAATTTAATATCAACCACACAAACTCATTTTTCTTAATAATCGTGTCACCTTCACTCGTTCCCATCTTAGTGGGACGGAGGTAGTGTTAATTAGTCCATATGACGTTTCTATATGACCGCAGATAAGAATTAGTGTGA